ACAGCCCCTGGCCACCGTCGCGTACCTTGGATTACACGCCTATCGTGAAGCGGCCTCGCAATCCGCTCCGTAATTTCCCACGCACGACTATTCAAGATGCGGCCTGCACCGGTTGGCCTCACGCTGGTGACGGCGTTGCTGGGAGGTGTCGACTCCATCTTGGTCACCAATGGCTCGCCCTGTGATGTCCAATGTGGAAACACGTTGGACAGCACCTCCCTAGCAGACATCGTGTGCAAAGAGAGCGACTACGGTACTACTCCCGCCGGTGTCACGTTCGAGAGCTGCACGCGGTGTCAGCTAACCAGCAACTATACGGCGAATAACCAGTCGGACTTGCAGTGGATGATATGTGAGCAACCCTCGGACACATACACATATCGGGCCTCACCGCTAACATACGTCTGAAGACAATGCAAGGTATGCAGTGGCGCATTGTTTGTTTGAGTTCGACGGCAAATCAGACGTCGACGACAATCCGTGCATTACGGGGTGAGTTTTGGTCCTCGGTCCCATCTGCTTGCATCTGCTTCCTGCCGTTGCTTACATCAATGTAGGAGAGCTTGTGAACCTCTCCGGGACGCCATCGAATATGGCAACATGACCAAGAGCGTCGGAGTCCTCGACTTCTGTAGTAAATGGAGTCTGCAACAGGCAGACAAATGCGGCGAGTGCCTCCGGTTTGGACAGGATATGCACTACCTGAACAACTTCGTGACCATGATGAACGCCACATGTATCCAAAGGCCCGCGCCTGGAGATACGATATCCGTCCAGGGCGACCCGTTCAGCGTCATTCCCATGAACATTACCACACCAGGACCAAAATCCTACTACAGCCCAGATACTGGGTTTCCGCTCGGTGGCAAAGTGGGCATAGCAGCGGGCGGTATTGTCTTCATCCTCAGTCTTCTTGGCTGCTGCATCATCTGGAACGGCAAGCGCCGCAGGAGAAGATTTCTACGCGAGCTGGAGGAGAAGCATCTGCAGCAGGGCTGGCCACACCCCAAGACACGGTACGGTGGCCCCGACATGCTCGAGACACCCGCCAGCCAGAAGCCCCTCCGTGGCTGGGACGACGCCCCTGGCAGTGCAGCGACGGAGGCATCTGCCGACCGCAGCTACCAGCGTTACTTCAGCCCGTATTCAAGCCAGTACACCAGTCCGGTCAGCGCTGTCCAGGGTCCGGCCATGCAAAACTGGCCAGCCCCCAGCCCTCAGAAACTGACCCAAATCCAGCAACAAGAACTGGAATACATGCAAGCACAGGACGAACTGCTACGCCAACAACAACAACACCAAAGCCAACATCAGCCACCAGCCTTCGCCCAGTGGCCCACCTCCACCCAGGAGAAACTATGGGCAATGGCGCACGAGCGCCAACGAGCCGCTCTCGCCGACGGCCACATAGGAGTAGCCATCGGCGGTGACGAAGCCTCCCTTCGCTCCAAGCCATCCAACCCAGATCTCGAGTCCGTCCCGTCACATCTAGCCAGTAACAATCCCTACGGTGTCCTACACGAAACGTTCGAGACCACATCCCCGGCCAAGGGGAAGAACCGCGAGCAGTCAGAGGCATATGAGATGCACGAGGTGCCCAGTAGCGGAGGAGGTGATGACCCCAGGTACCACATGCCGGCGCAACCGCAGGCGCCGGTTCTTCACCATCCGGGTTATGGACGACATCCAAGTCTGACGAGGACGGGCACCGGGAGTTCAAGTCGGGCAAGGGCGCAATGGGAACTGACGGAGGATGACGCCATCAGGGGACATGCTGTTTAATCTTTGCTGTTATTCCAACCAGCCATGCTATTTTATCCGTTTCATCAGCACGGCGTTGGGCTTTCCGGTCAAAGATACCTATTGCTTGTACATGTCATCGTAGTTCAATGCAGCACACTTCTGTGCTGACCCTGCTAGATTTCTGTTTTCCTACTGCCGACCGAGTCATGCTAGTCTGACTAGGCCGGCAATAGCTTCACCATATTTCAATAACGGCCTTGTGGCGCAACGGTAGCGCGTTCGACTCCAGATCGAAAGGTTATCCGTTCAAATCGGGTCAGGGTCATACCATCATTGCAACAACCGTGTCTCGGTTGGTCGCTATCTTTTTCTTGTTCCCTTACAGTATCACCTCGCCGCGTGCATCGGAGGGCAGCAGCGTTGGGGCAGGACACATGAAGCAGCTGGTCCTTTTGGATGGCATCAGAGTGAACATGATCACCTTCCCAAGGATGTAACCCGACCATGGACTTTTGCAAAGCTCAAAGCTTTCGCATGGAGGAGATTGCCACAAGAGGTATGGCAGTCTCCGCAGCTTCGACCTGGTCCATTCAGTTCTCTCGGCCTGCGGCGACTACGGAGAGCCCAGACAAGCCTCCTTCAGTCAGGTACCTAGGTGTTACATGGTAACTGGACTAGCTGGGCAATATAGTAAGACCACCATCGAAATCTCGTTGACCTTGGCTCGTCCTTGACTCCCTGGGCCCAGCACGGCCACATTATCACTGTAGCAACAAATCCGAGCTCCTGTCGATCTTAATATGTACTCGCCTCTCATGCAGTCCTTTTTCTGCTAGCATGGTAAGCCTTGACAGTCGTCCAAGTCACAAGATGCGGCAATTGATAAGTCCAGGCTTCGACCTTAGACCGCCATTCAGGGGCTAGTATGGCACTGACGTAACACCACGCCCGGACGAGGGCGAAGGGTTGAGGACACCCTTGTGATGATGCATCTCCAACCTCGAAATAATGCACATCCAGACCCATAGTGCATCGGACAGAATTAGATGCTGAAGTGTTCCTCTGGTATTGTCACCTACGGGAGATCTTCGTTGTTGCCGGCTCGCGGTCGAGCCCGGGGTTCATGGTACTCACATCATATATGCCTGGAAGTGTGCCGGGCTTCACATGCAAAGAGCCAACATCCTGGACGATTGGACTTGGTGAGAATACGGAGCTGACGTCGTGACATAGCGTAAAAAACCCCAGGACAAAATAGGATTCCAATAGTGGTGGAGTGCAAAAGGAAAATGATACACCCATTGTCTGGGTGGTGTTGTGACCCTGACCCGATTTGAACGGATAACCTTTCGATCTGGAGTCGAACGCGCTACCGTTGCGCCACAAGGCCGTTGCTTGATAGTTGATGCATAAATCAAAATCTGAGAGATTCGGCGACAGAATAACATGTCACTGTACAACTTTGATAAATATTGCTGAACACGAAAGCCCAATGTGGAATTGAGGATCAGTTGGTTTGGTTATCGGTTGGCACATAGGAGAGCCCTCCAGGGTGAGCTTGAACTCCTCATTGTTCAACACGCCGGGCAAGCTGACAACATCATCCATATGTTGACTGCCTACAGCTACAGGACAGTGGACAGCAAGCTCTTCTCCCATCAGTGGCTTGGACTTGACGATATCTGATACAAAACCAAGTTCGTCCGAAGAGGTGGAACATAGAAGCAATCATCGCCTAGAATTGACACGTGTTTTTGATGTGCCATATGTGAAGTAGCACGTAGACAATGTATCTCAACAAGATGAGTAAACAGGGCCTTATGGCATTAGGACATATGACGGTTTGCATGCTTCTTCCAGTCGATTTCGCCAAGCTCAGTACCTCAGTTCTTTACGAGGTCCAGGAGGTCTTCTTTAAGTCCCTGCCCGGTTGCTGTTACCGAGGTATATTATCCTTTCATAATGTTATACCATAATGCAAAGCATAGGTCAAGTGAGTACTCCAGCAGTTTCGTCACCTCCGCCTGGGAAGGAGCGGTTTGCTGTGTATTGGCGGAAAGAAGAAGGAGCAACGCCATGTAGGTAGTTCCGGATAGTGGGACGCACAATCCTCTCCCACAACCTAACGTACGAGTTGATCAAGGCATAAATTCACGTCTGTCTCGCGGCCCATGCGATCATCATCCTAGCATCATACCGGAACCCACTGAGATCCGAAACAAGACATCATGAACTCGGAAGCCCCAACATAGGGCGGACCGGGAGAACGCCGCCTGTTGCGGTGCATCAAACAGACAGGCTCACGCAACAGCAGTATCAACCTCGGTTCTAGGAGTGCGAAAAGTTCAAGTTAGGCCTACCCAGCCGCCCTTGTGTCCCACAATCTATCATCCCCAGTCCCTTCGACAGACACTCAAGAACAAGCCAAATACATCGAGACAAGGCAGCGCATACCTGCAGACAAATGCCGCCTGTTTCTGAGAGGTCTACCACACGAACTACACATGTACTGCTCCCGGCAGTCAAGGAAGGAGCACAGACCAGGATGGTGTTGTAAGGGAGGCTCTCAATAGGCGGAACACCTCATCGAGGCACAGTACCACAACCCCAAGGGAGTCAACAAGCTCTGATTAGATGTCACTTACATTTTACCAAGGTGCTCGAAAGAACTAATAACAATAACCGCCAGACAGTTTAGTCTGAATCAAGGAGTTGGTCAGGTTATAGCAGGACACGTACTACTGCGAACACCGACAAGCCCAGCCGTCACGGTGTCGAAGTTTCACCTGCCCGGTCTATGCAAAGCACCCTTCATGTTATTTCCTGGGCCGTGGTCAGCAATGCTATTCTTTGAAGCCATTCGGATCCAGCCACTCACTCATCAGCTTCATGGTTCATTGGTGGCTCTGGACTTCTCCTGCTCGTTTCCCTTAGACATTACGAGCATGTCTTCTAGCAGGACCCCTCCCAGACGCAGAGGATGACATGTCTCAAGATCAAAGGGCCCTCGCACATGAGACCCTGAACACCGCGGCTCGAGAGGAGGTTATCAGAACAGACCTTAGTGTACCGCTTCCACCGCATATATCGCAACAGATGGAAGCATGATCACTGGAGTGTTTCTGTCGACTCCTATAGGACAAGAGGACGTGGCATAGGTTTGGACGTCAAGCTGCTGTGCAGGATGGACCAAAAATGGAGTTGAGAAGACAAAACTTGGAAAAATGTTACCGTCAACTGTGTTGTTGACGATCTACCGACCACGGGGCGATTCGAACGCCCAATCTCTAGAGCCGAAATCTAGCGCCTTAGCCATTAGGCCACGCGGCCTTCGATGGAGACATACAAGGGTATAGGGAGACAAGGCGATTCCGAAGTGGCTTGAACACGAGTCAGCTTGTGCGGGGTTTCATTTAGTGGTGGACGCGGACGGACGAGACTGAGCACCGGAAACAAGCCGGTCCAGTTACCCTATACGCGGGACGTACCCTGTCTGATCGGATGCCTGGTGAACATCTTATTACGGACCATGGTGGACTAAGGCCAGAAAATATGTATGCCTACGTGCGATCAAGTTTCCTGAGATGGTGCTTCAGAAGCAAAAACCTGCAACAAGGGTCGTAAGGTATGGCTGTTGAGACTGCCACAGAATTTGAAACCCTTAGACGGGAGCCACGCTGCTGCCAACAAAACATACACCTGGTATAGTGAGAGCAGCCAAAAGGGAAGGATGCGCCAGCCGCGAATCGAACGCGGGGCCCATCGATGGCAACGATGGATTTTACCACTAAACCACTGGCGCTTCAAGCAGATTATTGTGAAAAGGGTGCCTCCAGTTGGATATCAAGCCGATGGCAAGCTCGAGTGCTGTTACAGCTCGGTGCGGTTACGCATATCCTCCAGATGGTCCTTTCTCAAGACTGTCAAGCCATAGACAAACAAAATTGGGAATAGCCACCGAAGTATTCATGATCTGATGGACTCGAATATTCGCAGATAGATGAACAACCACGATATTGATCAGTTAGATCCAACATAGCGCCTCGACAACTTGGAAAAGGCGGTCAAACTTCTTACGCACGTATGTTAGGGCTGGCACAACACAGGGTATTTTCGACACCCTTAGTCGTGTTTGTGCAGAACAAGCTGTCACTTTTCAGGTTGTGTCACCCGACGTTGCAGCAGGCGGCTCGTGCCTTGGCCTACGGCAGATCGCCCTTCCCTTGGTGTCGGGACCGAACCGCAACTGATACGTTGAAAGTATGTACGGCACGTCTGTCGAGCGCTCTGCTAGAGACCTTTCATCTCGAACTCTCCGTGCTGCGGTGTAGGACAATTTGGGTCTCAACCGTTGGCACGCAGTACTGTGTACGTAGGGCAACAGACAACACCCAGCCGCCCAATCATTGAGGGGATAGGTGCTAGTGCCACTTGGTCTAAGCCAAATCATGACATCCACACTCCCAAATGTTGTGTCATATCTTTGCTATGTAGTGTATCAGACCGGGGTGAAGCAGGGGTGTAGAGCATCGCCAACCTGACGAGTGTTGATGTGAGGCTGGTAAAAGTTGCCGCATTTCAGTTGACGCCGTGCAACCTCATCCTATTCACCTGAGCACCCCACGCTGAGGTAGAGTAGCTTCGAGCAAGGGAGGGATGATGCTCCGCGTCCGACGACGAGTCCCATCAAAATCAGTGGTTGCTGCCATGATGTGATCGACTTCAGCCTCAATTCGTCCGATAGAATGCAAGACCATGGTTTGGGTCTCCGAGTGGTGGAGGGTCACAGTCAAAATTCCTTGGGGGTACCGGGAAGTAGTAGCCTGAATTGCGAAAGAATGCCATCCTCACCCACGCAATACGGGAAAAAAGCACCCGTGACGAGCCGCCTGTATCCTATCGTAGCCTCGCTGTGTGTCCAGAGGCGCGGGTGCCAGACGCAAATTGAGCGAACCAGAAGCACAGGCATTCTCTCACCGGTTTGCATCCAACGGACATCCTGATAGGCTGGTGTTGTGACTGCCTCCACACCACACACGTTAGTACGCAAGACAAGTGTGCGTGCCAGAGAGCTCCGGCCTTGATCATTTCAGTAGGCGTCGTAACGCTTCACTGAAACGCGTCCAAGTGTTTGCTATGCATCCGGCATCTTAGACATGCTGCATTAGTGTAAAAGTTGCCGATGAAAACAGGGGGGACTGTCTGAGAGCTGGACGAATGTGACGACCTCGACCTTCCAAGTCTATGATACCTTCTTAGCGGTCAGACAGCTGACAGCTGACTCGCGTCACCGCCCGTACGGCAGGCTGTGTCGTTCGAAGTGACATGATGTCAGGTAGGCGTACGTGCAGCCTCGTGGCACGAAGTGCGGAGCCATGACCTACAAGTACACGTAGCGCGAGCTGGCAGGCCTGGGTCGGCCCCATGGACCAGGCCTCAGCAATATCGGCAAACATGTCGCACGTTCGTAGGAGTCTCAAGTCTCGAGGTACCAGTCCCTCAGATTGAGGAAGCGAGTGCATTGCCCGAGGCTCAAAAGGGTATCTTCTTCATCCAATGACCACTCTTCTCCTTCTCCCTCCAAGTGATGCCATGGTCACGTCTCTACATCGCCGCCTGTTGCAAACCAGTGCAGGAAGCTTCACGTCCAAAAGGTCGTATCAACAACGTGATCAGCCCAAACCCGGGGAAATACAGCCCATGTAGGCGGCGAGATCTGAACAGACACCATGAAATACCGGTCATCCCTCGACTACGTAGATCCCAGGTGTGAATAAACAGCACAACAGGAGAAAACTTGAAAGACGGGACTGTACAACGCCGACACCGGTACCTGAGCCGGAGACCTAGCCGTTGTTGCCAGTGGAAACGCTGTCTAGGGGTGAAGTCATGTACCGTGGGCCGTTGATGGTGCCCGTGAGCTTGCTCCGGAGTTACTGACTCTGTCGGTTTCTGGCGCAAGGGTGCCTTCGCCCGGTTCAACTTCCGAAGGTTCCGGGTTTTCATTGGTAGGGTTTGGCGGGTTGGACGTAGAGTCGGTCGAGCCTAGGTACGGTGACGCGCCCGACCAAGAATCGGATATGCCTGGACCGGCAGGGTCGTCAATCACCGACGAACTCCGAGCGGTTACCTGTCCGCGAAAGTGCTCCTTGGGGTAATTGCATGCGTCTCGCGACCAAAAGAAAAGTACATCTTCCTGCCAACGTGTAGCATTTCGAGCTTGCAGTCTAGTCACAAAGACAAAGACGGTGTAAAGCAGCGCGATCTCTAGGGACGACGTGCGAAGCCTCTGTAGAAGCCATCGGTTGATGAATTCCGACTTGTCCTCGGCCTTGGTCTCCGAGAGCAGAGTCGAGATGCTATGCTCTTTGATGGCATCAGCCACCTGCTGCGGCCGTGATGGATCATCCTTGGGCAAGGCTATGGCTCTCTTTAGAGCCGTGAAGGGTGTGTCAAGCTGAAAGATGTAGCGAGGGTTTGATTGGAGGACGGGAAACCGAGACCTGAAACGGAAGTTCTCCTGCCGTGGTAGTTCTTCGGGACTGATGCTTATCGTTTCTTCCTGAAACGCCTTCCCGGTGTCGGCAAAGATGATGTACTCATCGTAGCACGAAAGATGCTTGCGTAAAAGCCTCCTGTCGATACAGAGCTGCCTCAACCGGTTCACTTGAGCCGTTGCCGCGGCCATCTCTCCTATGACGCGAGTCTCCCGCTCCGGGAACTCCACTAAGAAGCTCCAGTTGTATGAACCGATCTGGCTCTTGAACCTGCCCAGTTCCTCGTTCATCCTCTCTGGATCCCTCGTGATGGATGTTAGGGCAGCTATCTCGGCGTTATCCACAACGGCGCCGCGTTTGTCGGGGCGTCCTTCAGTACCACGCAACCGCTCGCGCCTGATGGCTAGTTCTAGGTCGAACAAGATCGAGCCGCGATGCTCGATGAGCTCCGAATGATGCTCTTTCAGGTTCTCCCGATGGCCAATAACGCCCATGAGTTGTTTGAAAAGAGGATGTAGGTCAGGTGGACGGTCTGAGGGGATGCCCAGTAACGATGTCCTAGAGCGGGGGTCATGACTGTGCACGCCGGCCACAGTCGGCGGCGGAGTAGTCTCCTGCCACAACAGGATACCGAAGAATTCGGTTTCTCTAGCTTCGGAGTCCATTTCAGCTTCAGCAAGCTGATCCTCCAGCTGTTGCACCTCGGTCTGCTCGCTGCGATACTCGTCCCTGGTCCCTTGCAGAACTTGGAGGCGTTGAAGAAACGCTTTGGTAGTGTCATGGTAAGATCCACCGTTGGCGATATCATCCCGGCACAAACTCATGAAGGCGTTGTCTGCGTCCTCCACTCTTGTTTCTAGTCGTTGCAAATGTCTTCTTCGGCGGTCCAGATGCAGCCGGAGTTGACGGACAGCGGCACGCTGGGCCTGTAGCCTCGCCCACGCATCTTCAAGGCGTTGGTCATGTTCAGCCTCTGAGTCAGTCTGCTCCTCCTTGACGTCCTCATCTTCGCCATTCCTATTGCTGCTCCCATGTTTGTTCTCACGTCTCGCCAGATCTGCGTCTCGCGACCAACGAGCGGTGGTGGACGGATGTCCCGTGGAACCGACATCCACCGATACGCCTGCAAGTGTCGCGAGCTGTGTTTTTAGCTTCCGGATTGAAGGCTTCTCTCGCGGAAGACTCCTTGAAGGTGGAACAGGGGGGAAGCGGTAGGTTCTCAAGTCGGAAGGATGGCCGAGTCCTGAAAAGTCGGAACTCGATACGGGCGATGAGGAATGATACGAGCTCGAAGCAGAAGAAGAAGACCGTTTTCGCAGGGTGCTTCGAGTGGGCTGGATTGCGGAGTCATCGTCATTGTTGTGGACAAGAGACCAAGTGAGTTGTCTGTTATCGGTGTCGAAATCCGTCGTGTTGATTGCTAAATCATCTGTTGCATGTGTGGTCGGTTGCGGCCCTGTCATTTCCTCCATTGTGGAGCTCACGCAGCCAGGAAGCGGTTACGTAGTGGAGGACACGGTGCGAATCGTGGTTTTGGCGGTTATCACCACACAATTAGGTGTTCTTACACGTGTAGATTCGTTGTGGTTGATATCCTGTGTGATTATGCTGGCAAACTGCTTGACTGGGCTTCCTAGAACAAAAAAAAAAGGTTGGAAACAAAGAGTTATTAAACCAGAAAGTTATGTATCTGGAGAGGTGGTCGGACCTTCAGAGAAAGTGAGGCTGCAAATATGGGCAGGAATGTCTTATTATTGTCAACATTGACTCCTGGACCGCTTGATGGCTCCATATGATGACGAGGGCTGTTTCGGAAGGAACCAAAAAATAACA